ATAGAGCCAAAGATGTTAGAATTGTGTCGATGTCCCAATATTTCTGGACCTGACTGTAGTACAGAAAAAGTCATGAGCAAAAGAAATTAAAGACTGGAGATAAGAGAAAAGATGAGGAAATATTACTAAATCTAGTTTACAACAATATTATTCACTCTACCTGTCTGTCTATCTTGAAAACATGGTTCCACAACTTCTATACACAAATTCATACATTGCTTTTGTACTTTACAATTCTAAACTCCATCCAACCATGACTTTCTGTGATCCCTTTCCTCTGAACCTATTTACCCTTTCCTTCCTATATTTTTGTAATTCAGTCATTATTTCTGTACAACCAAACCACTTCAACATACTTCATTCATACTGTTCTTTCATCATTGCGCTCAATACAAATTATGTCAGTGCTCATTTATTCTCGACTGTTTTTATTTTACCACTGCATTCAATTTACTTCTATTATATACACAGCGTGAAATCACAGCTGCCAGTTCTTTAGTTGGTGTTGGCCTTTATTCACACTGAGATCTCAAGAAACTAGGATGTCATAATTTATCAGCATAGTATATGTGCAGATCCATGCAGTAATTGACAGATGGAAATTTTGTCAATGCAGATTTTTTGTCCAAGGTATGCGGATAACCACTGGGACCACAACTGCTTTTCAGATCTTGATTGTTTATGATCTCCAATTCTTTGTCTTTTATTCCACTATCCCCTGGTATTGCCACGTCAGTTATCCACACTTTCTTCTTTTCAACCACAGTTAAATCTGGTGTGTTATGCACCAAAACTTTATCAGTTTGTATTCAGAAATCCCACAGTATTTTAACCCACTCAGTTTCTACTACTTTTTCAACCATATGTTCCCACCAATTTTTCATTACTGGCAGATGATAATTTTTACAGAAGTTCCAGTGAATCATTTTGGCAACGGTTATGTTGTTGTTTATAGTCAGTTTGTGTGATCTTGCATGAGCTGAGATCTACTGAGATCTACTGTTTCTTCTGCTTCTTTGCATAATCTGCACTTTGAATCATTTGATGATTTTTCAGTTCTGGCCCTGACTGAACTAAATAGCTTGCTCTTGAGCAGCCAAAATCAAGCCTTCGGTTTCTTTTTTTGATGTTCCAGTTATAAACCATTGCCAAGTTTTATCTTTATTCACTTAACCCTCAATCTTTTGTAGAAATTGACCATGTAATACTTTTCCTTATCAGAATTCTGTTCATGTTTTTATTACGTTATTTCGATATTCACATTTTGTTTCCTGTACACTCAGTAAGTTCCAATATTTAACTTGCATCAGTGCTTATCCTTGACTGTTTTTTACATAACCAACCAATGCATGTTTTTTTTCTTCTTTGACAGTTTGTTTGACTTGAATTATATCTCTCTATTTTACCACTGCATTTTATTTACTATTATTGTTGGTCGCATAGTCAGCCAGTTGTTTAGACTGGATTTGCCATGTTTATCCACCTATCAAGTCCTTCCCAAGGACCTGGGATAGGCAAATGTTGTTGTTTGATAGTGTTAAAGGTATCATTGCAGGATGTAAACTGTTCCAAGAAAAGCTGCCTTTTGCAGTTGACTGATGGTGATTTTGTCAATGCCAATGGTGTTCAAGTGGTGCTCCGGATGTTCTGGGATTGCACCCAAGGCACTTATTACTATTGGTACTATCTTAGCTTTCTTTTGCCACAGTCGTTCTATTTTTATTTTGAGGGCTTTGTTTTTTTGGGATTTCTCCCCGTCTTTTTCTTCTTTTTTTCCGTCTCCCGGTGTTTGAGTGTCCACTATCTAGACTTTTTTGTCTTTCTTATCAACAATTGTTAAGTCTGGGCTGTTATGTTGCAGGTGCTTGTCTATTTGAATTTTAAAGTCCCAGAGCACTTTAGTTTTTTCATTTTCTATTACTTTGTCTGTTTTGTGGTCCCACCAGTTCTTGCTTACAAATGGTATTTCTTGCAGATAATCCAATGCACCATTGTTGCTACTTTGTCATGGCATTGTTTGTAGTCAGTCTGTGCGATCTTCTTGCAGCACCTAACTAGGTGGTCCCGTTTCTTCAGCTTCTTTGCAGAGGGGGCATTTGCTGTCTGTGCCTGTGTTCTCAATTCTGGCTTTATATGCATTTGTTCTTAAGGCTTGGTCTTGTGCAGCCAGAGTTAGCCCTTCTGTCTCTTTCTTCAACTTTCCTGCTCTTAGCCATTGCCAGGTCTTCTTGTTATCTGCTTTGCCTGCTAGGGGTGTGTGTGTGTGTGTACTGGCCATGTAATACCTTGCCTTGCCATGTCTCTTTTCTGTTCTTCATTTGGTCCTTCTTATAGGCCAGTTTGGTTTCTTTGATATTGAGTAAGCCTTCATGGTGTACTAACTTCAGTGTATCTTTCTCACTGTCCTTCAGGTATTCTTCCAATGCCCTTTTTTCTTCTTCAACTGTATGGTATACTTATAACATTCCATGCCCACCTATGCTCCTTGGTAAGTAGAGTCTATCAACATCACTGCGTGGATGAAGGGCATGATTTACTGCCATTATTTTTCTGGTCTTCCTATCCAGGGCTTTTAGGTCGCCTTGATGGCATAAATACCATCAAGGTGATTAACAGCTGGGCAATTTCAGTCCACTATTCCAGCTGTTTATCTAATGACTGGAATTGCCCAGGTGTTAATCA